CATCCTTCTTTTTGATTTATTATTATTTTTAAGAAGTCCCGGCCTGCCAGCAAGGTGACGGAGGTCGTGGGTTTGGCTGAAGCCGGGCTGGGAGTTGCGGGGTTAAAGCTCAAACTTGTTTCTTGGCTTGCCACAGCTTTTTGTGATGCTCCGTGCGTGTGATGCCTGCCTCTCACACGTGATTTGATAAGCCCTGGTGCTGGGACGGGGCAGGATACAGGCAGCAGCTGGATGTTAACCCCTGCCGTGCTGGGTGCTGCTGAGCTCCTCGCTCCCGGGCTGCGTGGTGCTGTGTGTCCGATGCAGACGTACCCGCAGCCCCCCGGGTGCGCTCCCCGTGCGCGGGCACTGGGATCGTGGCCGCAGGAACGTCCCACGGGCGCTCATCGCTTGTGGCTGTGCGGAGATCGGTCCGTCCCGGGGGGGGTTTGTTGGTGGTTGGGCTGGCGCTCAGGTCCAGGCTGGGTCTCGGAGGTGACACGTGGCAGCAGCGTGGCTGGCGGCTGGCGGCGGGGCCAGGCTGGGGCACAGCGGCCGTGGCACAAGCAGGGCGGTGGCCAGGAGCCCTGACGTGGGACTCGCTGTGGTCCACGGCTTCGCTGCAGCCAGGGAGGGGTTTGGGGACGGACGATGGAGATGCCCGGGCAGTGCCTGTTCCCAGGCTCCGTGGTTGGTGGCTTCTGGGCAGAAAAACCTCTAACAAAAGAGGAAGATGCTCTTAGCAGGTTCATTCCCTGCTGAGTTTCATCTTGAAGTCAGCTTTTGTGGCAGTACTGTTCTGCTGTGTTCACAGTCTCTCTGTCCTGCACCCTACACAAGGTGCAGGGGAGGACCTGGGAAGCTTTTGGCTTGACGGTGGCATCACGTGGGCAGGAGCAGCTGGACCAGCATGTCCCAGCTTGGCTGGCAGCATCCTTCCAGGCTGCGGGACCGGGGGTGCGCAGACACCCCTGCAAAGACCGCAGCGACGCGGGGGTGCTGAGTCGCTCCTTCCTCCTCCTCCACCCTGCCGGGCTGCCCCAGCGCTGGCAGGAGCCCCGTGCTTGGGTGGCCCCGTCTGGCCAGGATTGCCAGCCCTTGGCGCGATGCCTGACCTGGGGAGCTGCTTTTGCTCCTGAGCCTGCGATCAAAACTTATCCCCCGGCATCACGCTCTGCCCAGCCCGGGATGTCACCTGGGCTTCGCTGCCACTTCCCTGCCTGGGCTGCTCCCCGCCATCCACAACACGACTCTGTGCTCCAGCCCCCCGAACTGCCTTGTCACCCCGGTCCAAGTCATCACTGGGGCACGGGAGGGTGGGGAGAGCCTTTGCTTCGCGGCAGGGGCCGAGAGCTGCGGCCCTGAGGTCTCCTGGACATGGCAGCACCTCCTGCTGCTGTCCCCGAGGGGAGGGAGCACCGCTCGCCCCGCTGGCTGGCCGAGACGTGCCTGTGGGACGCATTTTGTTCCGGAGGCGGTCAGCATAGTGCCTTTTTTCCCCTTGGAAAGAAAAACAGGCTTTCGTAGGTCATCCCCTGGCCTAGGAAGCCGTTCGGGCGGGTGCTAGTGACCATATTGTTCCTGTGGAGTCTGGCTTGTGCAGAGGATGTTTCCCATCCTGCATGGATAATGTTGCCCTTGTGCGAGCGTATCTGGTGCTCAGCCCTTCTCCTTTCTCCCTCCTCTAACCACAGGTCTCCTTGAGCATGGGCGGAACTGGTCAGCCATTGCCAGGATGGTGGGCTCCAAGACCGTGTCGCAGTGCAAAAACTTCTACTTCAACTACAAGAAGAGGCAGAACCTGGACGAGATCCTACAGCAGCACAAACTGAAAATGGTGAGAGCCCCATCTCAGCCTGCCCCGGGCACCGTAGATCCTTCCCAGCAAGCGCTTGCGTGCTTCGCACGGCCAAGGGGGGTCTTTATCATCTCGGAGAACGTACTGGAATGAAAGCTCTAGGGTCTGGGAAGCGGTGCAGGAAAGGGTTGTCCACCCGCCTGGCCCTGGGAGGTCTGGAGGAGGGAGAGCTGCTGCGTGGGAGATGCCTGGGTGTCTGGAGCGTGGCTGGTACGCAGGGAGATAAGAAGGAGCAGGGCTGTGGTGTGTTGGCCAGGACGCACGCTCAGTCCTGGCTGCTGGCGAGGTTGTGCCGTTCCACCCTGGGGAACGGAGAGCCCGGCTGGGCCACGCAGCCCCGTGCCTTGTCACCGTTACCTGGTAAACTGCCGGTCTGCCCCAGAGAAGCTCGGGGGTTGAGGACAGTGCGGGGAGAGGCTGGTCCCGACACAGATGTCGGCTGTCTGCGGGGCTGCGAGCAGATGCGCGTGTGTCTGCGTGCCTTGGTTTCCCCGTCAGAAGGGGCTATCCCTGCTGCTTTTCTGGCATGCGGTGCAGGGCGTGAATGAAGTGTTTGGTGTTCTGGAGATAGGACAGACTGCTAAGAGCAACGAAGGATTATAATTATTTCATTTGTAGAGTATCCTGGGGTTCCCAGTTTCTGGCTAATAGAATTCACATGGCGAAACCCCCAAGGGGTGCTTTGAAAATGCAAAGGACAATGTTCAATGCAGGAATCTCTCCAAGCAAGCTATTACAGCAAGAGTAAAAAGAAAGACAGGAAAACATTCGATGACTCACCCAGGAATTTAATATCCTAGTCAGTCTATAGGAATGAGAGAAAGGGAAGACATCGGCGATTCTTTTTTATTAATTCTCTATGCACAGAGACACTCCTGTGTTCCCATGTTTCACCAAATTGTTTTTAGAAACAAAGCAAACAAACTATATAAAAGACCCCAAAACCCTAACAAAGATGGGAACGAACCGTGCATCGAGCCCTCCAAATACAGAATGCTACATTAGCAAGATATCATGGTTCGTTACTGGGGAGGATCTGAAATAAGATCGTACAGCGTGGCTGGCGGTGGAGCCGGTGTGTATTCATTTACTCTGCTTCCTAATGTTTCACAAATGATATCACGGAAGTGTTTTTCTGCAGAACCACATTTTTCCCTGCATCCGTCCCTCCAAGGCAGCCGCTAAACTCCTCCAGTCTAATTGCTCACTCTCACTTGCCGTTTCTATCAGCATCATCGTTTTATTTTTCAAGCAGTGGAGGCTATGGGATCGGTGGTGGAGGAGAACAATGAGCCCTCAGCTGTTATTTATTGTGCTCCATTGTTTTGTGGCAACGGCAGATGCCAGAAAGCTGAATAAAGTAAAAGAACAACTGAGATTAAATTGCCGTAGACCTTCCTTCCTGACTCTTCAATATATTCACCAGCAAACCGAGCCTCCCGATCTCCTCCTGCACCCGGTCGTCAGCCGCGACCCCTGCGGAGGAGGCACGTGGTGGGGCAGCGTGGCGTCGCCTAGCTTTGCCGTACCATCCCCAGGTTACTCGCTGACCTCGCCACCAGCAGCTATTGCTGATCGTGCGCGGGGAAACGCAGTGGCTCTGCTTTCCTTCCTCTTGCTTAATGAGAGTAAACTTAATTAGCAGATTTCATTCGTTTCCCAAATGGGGCTCGTTAATCTTGTAGCCTCCTCTTCCAGGTGGATGTGACAGCGGGTGTCAGCAGCGTACAGACAACTCGGAGGAGCTGTGGGGACGGGTGGGATGGGAAGCAGAGCCAGGCAAGGTCCCTCTGTCCCCAAAACGTGGCCCAGCGCGGAGCAGGATGGCCCCATTCCCCGCATTGGGTTGGGGCTGGGCATTTCAGCAGACCCTTGTCCCCGTGCGTGGCCAGAGCCAGGGGAGCTCCTTTCCCACCTCTCCGGAGCCTGTGTGGTCCGTACCCTCCCATGTACCATGTTCGGGGTTTTAATTTGAAGACCCCTTTTTCTGGTAAGGTTTTCCCCAGGGGAAAGAGCACAGAGGGGCTGGGGAGCTGCACGTGGACTCTGTCAGCACGCGGAGCCCCGTTTCCCCTCTCCCCCGAGCTGCTCAGTGCTCACGAGCCCCTTCCCGGGACTGTTTGAGGAGGGGAATCCAGGGCTGGATGCCGCAGGTCCTCACCCTGCTCCATCTGCAAGGGGTCTGCTGCCGAGCGGCTCGGATGTGTCCCAGGCATCAGCGTCACTCGGCTTTGACCTTCTGCGCGCCGCGCTCTCTAATCTCGGCCTTTAAGGAAAGCAGGGCACGGGGATACGCGGCGTCCTCAGAGCTGCTCTTGCTGTTAGCAGTTGGAGATTAGGCGCTGTCTTCAGCGGGACCTCCACGCAATGTCATTGTCACTTTTATTTAGTGGCTGCTGGGGTTTGTTTTGGCTTGTGCAGCAAAGGTGGGCAGGTTGTCCCCCCGGGCTGGTGCTGGTTCTGCTTGGAGGACCAATCCTTTGGACCCCTGTGAGCAACGTTCCTTCAATGCCTTGCTTTTTAGGGTGGTGCTGGCTTCGCACAGCAAAGCTGCTTCAGGAGGACAGCCTGGTGGCCTCTCCTTCTGGAGGGAGAACGAGTCTGCTTTGCCTTGGCGCAGAGCCTTGGTCTCGGGTTGGGGAAGGGAGACGCTCCTCACCACAGTGGGCAGAGAGGTCCTGCCTGTGGGGTCATCTCTCTGTCCCTTTGCATCACCGCTGGCTGCTCCCGTGGCAGAGCACGGGAGTCGCTGCGGTTGGACCTAGTCCTGGTGCTGTCTCAGATACAGGCCCTTTCGTCGCACTGGTCTGGGACTGCCTGGTCCTGCACTTACCAGAGGCTGAGGCCGATGCTGACGGGAGGTACCCATGTCGGTGGCGGGGTTTGGAAGCTGTTTTGCCCGTGGTCAGTGCAAGGAGAGGCCAAGTTTGTCAGGATGGCTGCTCTGCTTGCAAGGCAGAAGGCCAGGGAGATGTCATGGCCAAGGGCTGGTGGCATCTCCATCTCCTCCTCCAGGACAGATGGTGCAGGAGAACTCGAGCAGTGGGAGGCAGTGCCCGGCACCCAGGATGGCAGGAGGGGAGGTGGGGGAAGAGCTGCCCATCCCTGCCAGGCTGGGAGTCAGCGTGATGGGGCTGGCTGGGGACCAGGAGCCTGGGAGGACAGCGTGGAGGAGCAGGCACGGAGTCACCTCTCATGCAGGGTTCGGTGTCCTCGCTGTGCGCGGCGCATCTCCTCAGTCGTTTTGGGAAGGCAGACCTCTCAAGTGGCACCAAGTCCTGGATGCTCCTGCAGAAATACCTGGAGACAGGCAGAGAGCAGAGACCCGTGGGCTGGGATAGCACAAAATGAGCAGCAGAGCCCTCGTGGCAGATGTTCCTGGCACCTTCCCGTGACCTTGCTGGTGATCACTTGGATTAAGAGAAGGTTGTGATGATGGGAGATGCGTGGTCCCAGATGTGGCTCACCAGGGACTCTTCTGTGTCCACCACAGTCGTGGTTAGGACCCGGTGTCAGGTGTGGTGGCCCTGTGGCTGCTGATGGAGGCAGAGGGACCCCTTTCCTGGGCAAGGCGCCGGAAGCAAGGCTGCACGGGGGGTCAGAGCTGTCAGCACTGTGAGAGACGAGGTGGTGGCCTGAACGTATCTCGAGGTGTAGCCGGGATCTGCTGCCGGGGTGTCACAGCATCTTCCCCAGATACCAGCAGCGGGGTCTGCCGGGAGAGGGACCCTGGTGGTCTGGCCAAGCAGGGTGCTGAGGGTGAGGCTGGTTCCCGGCGAATTCCCCAGCGAGGAGCCGGCTCCTGCCCGCGGCTGAGTCACGGGCCCGTGAGT